GGGTGCCATGTGACCAGCTGCCTCAGGCTCCTGACTGTGGGTGCCATGTGACCAGCTGCCTCAGGCTCCTGACTGTGGGTGCCATGTGACCAGCTACCTCAGGCTCCTGCAAGCAAAAGCAAACACTCTCTCCCCTAAGTTGGTTTTGTCAGAGTGTTTTGTCCCAGCATCGAGGACTATAACACACTAGGGATGTTAACTCCTTTGCTCTATGACCATCCAGTACATTTGCTCTGTCTGGCTCTCAACAGTGACAGAGGAGATACAGGGCTTTTAAACACATGCAGCAGGACAGTCAGGGACAAGTGACCCATATGCAGCTTTGGGATGCTTTACCACTGAGATTGGGACATGATTAGGTTCTAATGTACTCAGAGGGGAAAAGAACTCAATGCAAGATGCTTTGGATAGGATGCAAGGTCTGTGTCTTGGTCTGTATCCTAGAGGAAGAAGCTTCTCATTTGAACATGAGGTTGCCAGGAAAGATCTGAAAGCTAGAAGGCAGGCTACCTTGATGTATTTAATAAAATGATGTCATTGACTATAGTAAGCATTCTTATGAGACAGGTGTAAAGAACATATGCAGAAGTACTCAGTATTTGTTGACTGACTGACTGACTGAATGAATGAATGAATGGATAAGTGAGTGAGTGAATACTGAACTAGGCTCTGGCAAAATTCATCCAGTTTGAATATTCTTAAGTGCAATGTCAAGACACCTGATGTGATGGGGCAAGTTATAAAATGCAGAAGAAGCGGGTCATAATTATAAAATATCAGGACACCAGAATCTTGTCTTTTCTTTTCTCTTTAAAGAAACAAGGAGCCAATTGCCGACAAGTCTGTAATGCTGTTGCTTCTCACTGTTTCATTCTGTTATGATTTATTTTAATGGTCACTGATGTGCTTTGTAATAGTTGTGATTACAGATGACTGTGCAACTTAGGATGATAGCTATCTCTGCTTATTTTTTAATTTTACCCATGAATAAATTTTTAACAGTCTAGAAGGCAAGGGTAGATGAAGGGTGTATGTAAAGTACAGCTATGTGGTATTTCAAGAGAGCAGGAATACGTATGTCTGTCAGTCATAACACCAGAGACAGGACTGCCCAGCCAAAGGCACAATTGTCATGCCAGTAGACTTTGTAACCCAATGTAAGCATTTTAAAGGTATCATGATTTTATTTATTTTTAAAAGTAGAGTACAATAGCTATATTTGTTTTATTGGTATTAGCTAACTTTATTAATATTTACTTTGAGTGGAAACTTAGAAAAAATTTGAGTATTAAAACGTTCAATTAAATAGTCACATTAGTCATATACATTATAAGAAGGGTTTGAATGATGGATTTCGTTGCTTTAACAAAAGGACTTTGATGGATTACATGCTACAAAAAGAAGTATGTAACACTATTTGCTTTATTTTGCCATAAAATCGGAAGGAAGTGTCAGAACGAGGACCTGTGCTTTACCTGCTTTTATAGCTCACCACATCACATTTGATGGGGACTGATTAAAGGTTCCCAAGAGGAAGGGAAATCCAGACATCAACAGCCCTAGTTGAATTGCAAGACTGAATGGATTTAAATGCTGGCTTCGTTTGTTCCTTGCTGGCTCCTTGACCTCAGGGACACTGTGCCCCTCTCTGTTCCTTAGTTTCTGATTCTGTAAAAGGCGATCATACATAAACCAACAGTGTGCCCTGAGCACACACAGTAGGTAGCAGCCATCCAGCAAATGCTAATTATTGCTTCCTGACTCAAACCTTTATCTGCCATTCATTCACTCATCTTTATTATAATAATCTCTTCCTCCTACTCTTCCTCCTCCACCCTCCTCCTCCTTCCTCTGAAGCCTTTATTAAAAGCATGCAATAAAAAATATTTGTAGTTCAAGGGTTGGTGGTGAGCTGGCTCAGCAGTGGGGAAAGGACTTTGTGCCAAGCCTGACAACCTGAGTTTGCTCCCCGAATCCCACATGTTGGGATAAGAGACTCCCCACTAGTTGTCTTCTGAATGCTCGCCTGTGTGTGCCAAGCCCAAAAGTTAAATAAATGTAAAAATGTTTTAAATTATAACTACATATTTATGACTTAGATGCTGTTGTGTAGGATCTCCACTGTTGTGTAGGAACTCTCTGTCTATGAAGTCCCACAGGAATGTTCTCCTTTGTATGGTTTTAGTGGCCTGAAGAACAACCAGTACGCCTCACTCCATGGATCTTTTCTGCTTAGGTCTGAATCAAGGCTGTAGAATAAAAAAGGAATGAACAACTTTCTGACTCAACACTTTCCCCTTAAAGCAGCTCAGAATGTCTCCCTTTCATCCCTGCAGGAGCATCAAATTCCTGACAAATTAAGCAAAAAGAATTATGGTCATGGCTCTTGATTATCTAGCCAAATCGGTTTTAATTTTCAGTTGGCAAGGGTAGTGCTTCCAAGAGCTTGCAGAGCTTGCTGAGTTTGAACTGGATCCTGAGCAGAGGAGAGGGGGTATGGTGGGAGGTGGGAAAGAGGGTGGGGGTGGGGGAATGTCATTTTCAGCACTCCGGAGATCACTCTGAGAGCACAAACAAGTCGTCATTTGTCTTGGCACTCAGGGCGTTGGGGGAAAACTTCCAGTCAAGACAGACCCCAAGCTGAACGCTAGATGAGTGCAGCTCACACAAACAGACGACCTGCTGTCCACAGATGTCCATCCCACCGAGGCCTCTCCCTGCCAGGCTGAGCAGCAGGCCCCTCTTGAGCGATAGGACCCAACCTGGGTGCACAAATCTCTAGCCCATCCTGAGCTGCCACTGTCTGCCTGAGCCTGTTTCAACAGCGATTTGCAAACCAAAACATCTTACCTAGAAGGGGATTTTTATGCTGCTGGCTTCTTTAGTTCCCAGAGTTGCATGGTGTAACTACCAAAAAAATCGATTTCCCCTGAGCTGAGCTGTGTAAACCTAAAGGCATGAAGGGCGCTGCCAACACCTCTTTCCTGGGGCTGGTGTCAGAGTTGGGCTCTACCTAGTCACTCATTAGCGCCACACCAGCATTCTCTGTTATCTCTCCCGGTGCCAGCCCAAGAAGTCGTGCTCTGCAGACCAGATGACTACGCTGTCATGCACACAGGCAGGCACCTCCACGGTGTAGACTGCTCAGTCAGGGACTACTCAAGAGCAGGGCGGCACCTTTACAAGACGGCGCCCATAACTGCTGGCAGGAACCCAACAGGTTTGGCCACAGCCGCGGAAACACGAAGGGAGACTTCATTTTTGAAGTGTATTTGATGATCCTCTGTCAGCACTGACAGCAGAGGGGCCTTTTCGAGCTCAATTTTGACAGCGGCTTCCCAGCTTCAGTCTTAGAACTACTCTGCCTCCTGAGACGGCAGAAAAAACGATTTGGAACTTGTCACACGATTTCCCCAGCACACAGCCCACCAGGGCTGTGAACAGGATCGCTGCCTCTCCCCTGGCTAATTTACAAACATCCTGTGCCTCTCTGCCTGTGGTCTTGTTTTTTATTGGAACTTCCAGAAACCCGCATTGTTAGCATCCGAGGCTACAGGTTTCTCTACAGTAAGAATGTCTTCATTTTTTTTCCCCTCTGACTGTGAGACCTTGTAAATTTCCAAAGCAGAATAAGACTCGAAGCTGTTCAGAACATGCTTATTTAATTTTGAAGCTTTGAGAGAGAAAAGCAGGCAGGAACTTGACCCCAGAATGTCCCTGGGTAGGGAAAAGCTCTCAGCTGGGAAGCCAGGCTGCCTGCTGGGTAGAAAAGCAAGATGTCAACCAAGGCTTTAAAATGCTGCTCTCTTTCAGCACAATGTTTAGTTTATCTGCCAACACATCTTGGCAATTATTAGGAAGGTAGTTTCAATTCAGCACATTCCAAAAATCATTAAAATTTATCTCCTCTGAAAAACTACACACTTCGGGGGCTTGGCATCATGGCTGAGACTTGTCATCCAAATGCTCAATCACAAAGAAGTAGTGTGCTTGTGGCTTCATCATCAGGTAACATTCCTAGATGTTTTGCATGTTCTGGATTTCCAGTAAGTTCCACAGAGGGTTGCAGTGGAGATAACTGTGGTACAATTTCTGATGAAGAAACAATAGTTTTAGTCTGTATGCATACCTCTGCTAACATCACATGGTCACACCTGTCTCAATTGGCTATGAAATGGAACGACTCCCCAAAGTATTAGCAGTAGAAACTTAAGAAGCTAAAAACCTTGCCTGCCCACCAATGCCCTTTAGAATGATACACCAAGCTGGACCAACCCCAGACCTGTCTCCCAGTACCAGGCAGTGCCTTGTGAGCTGTCCATGTATGGAACCCAGCCCAGCCAGAGTGCATTTAGCCGAGATGAGACCTTCAGGCTTGAGGTTTTGTTGTTGTTGTTTTTAAAGGTATAGCATGTTTTAAAGAGCAGATGGTTTTAGTGAAAGTTGTTTTGAATCCTGTCTGGGCTGTAGAAACAGCCTCAAGACTGAGACATCAAACGTCTAATCTCTTAGCACGAAAACAACCTTCCAAAGGTGAGTCATTTGTGAGTGTCGCTTAAAGCTTGCAGGAGGCCTGGGGGTTCAGGGGAAATTGTGCCAGCCAGCATGCTGTCTTCCCCTTTTTCCTTTTCTTCTTCTTCTTTTGTTCCTTTTCCCTCTGTGTCTCTCTGAGGCCTAGAAGAACACAGAGGCACACAGATCCAGGCAGGGGACAAGCCACTTACGTTTGTTCTCTTGCCTCAGGTGCTGTCTAAAAGAACATCCTGAAGTCAGCCTTCTGATGCCCACCAAGGTGGGCTCCAAGCAAAGTCAGCTATCTTAGGTCATGGAAGTCACTTGCTGCAAAGCCTGTAAGTAATACATGCTCTTCTGCTGACATCACCGCCCTGAGCTGCGACCCCAGGGGACTTCCAGGGACCTTGGCTTGGAAGAGTGGAAGGACAGTGGGAAAACAAAGTCCCTCAAAGGTGACAGACAGTCCAGTGAGGCTCCAGGCTCGGAAGCCTGCATTGTGAGTCTGCCTCTGCCAGTGACTTCTAAGCAGATGTATCCCATTACCTCTCCAACAGAGCAGAAAATGCTAAGTTGGATCAGAGTGTCTGTCAAATACTGCGGGACTGCTGATGAGTGGTGCTGGAACGTGTGGTGTTACTAGCACAGAAACCAACCCATGTCCAGGTTTAATGGTGAGGGGAGGAGATTCAAGGCAAACGCCCAGCAATACTTGAGGAGAAGACGGTCTACCTGGGAAGCAAAGGTGGTGTGCCTCAGGAGGGGATGGCCAGTCACACACAAGCCATCCAAGTGAATCTGAGTTTCATGCAATAACAGTGTTTTAAAGTATTAAGATGCCCAAAATATGCCATGCAATATACTTATTCTAGGAAAATATTGTTTGCTTATCTGGAATTCAATTTTACTGGGACTCGTGTATTTTTCATTTGCTAAAACTGTCAAGCCTGCCATGGAACAGAAGACGTTTTTCAAGAGAAAGGGGGAAGATCTTAGTACTGGTTGTGTGTGTGTGTGTGTGTGTGTGTGTGTATGTGGTCGGGGGCCTCAAACCAGAGACTGTTCTGAGTTGAGGAGTCCTAAGCTGGCTTGGAGATCAGTTCCTTGGAGATCAATTCCTAGAATGATTAGGACAGTTTAGGTCCTCCCTTACCCCCCCCCCCCCCCCCCCACCTTCTAAAAGTGTTAACCACAAAGTGGACCAAAGTGATCTCTCCTTTTCTGGAGAATGGCTTATTTCAGTCACCGTCCTAAGAATACTCCACGAGCACCCACCGTTCACTGGATAGAGTGCTAGCTTCTGCAGAGTAGGGAAGGGGTGGGCGGAGCCTCTGCCTGGGTGGGGCACCCACTCAGTGGGAAAATGCCTCTGACACTGGGAGCTGTCAGTCTGTCTCCGGAATTCAAGAGCGCAATGTGGTTTCTTTTTTTCCTGCAAGTTTCCTTGAGGTTTGGTACCAGTGAGGTACAGCTTTTCTTCCGGTACAAGAGACATAGAGAAGCACCGCATGGCAGGAGCTTGTGAGAGTGAGGCAAGACGCGTCTGTCACCAGCGGTAACAGAAGGTGGGATCTGTCAGAAACGGTAAAAGGGATGAAGTAGAGGAGGTGGTTCTCGTGGAGGAGCCATTACATGAGTTTGGAGTCCACAGAAATGCTTTCTTCAGGAACCCAAGATGAACCTGAGGCACGCAGAGACAGTCCCCAGCACTCTGGACTTAAATCATGTATTCATGTTCTCCCATCAATGGAAGCACTGTCCTCAGGTGTCTGTATGTCCAAACATCCTACAGTGTCCTTTGTCAAGTGTCACTTGTCTTTATTTGAATTCTTCTCGAATCTTCTCAAGAAGTCCATCCTATTGTCTTAAAGTGAATAGCTGGCAGTAGCAGTTTTAAAAAGCTACATGCTTCTCCTGCTCCCCACATTGGCTCTGGATCTGCTACTTGCCCTACTTAGTACTTCAATCAAACACCAGATGAAGATCTGGAATAGAAGCTTGATAATTAGTCTCAGAATGGAAGCATATAGGATCAACAGTGAATACCACAGTGACATGAAGTATCCAAAGCCCACCGGGTGAGATGATATAGCAATATGTGTAAAAGCCTGCATTTAGACCACGGAACAGTGTGGCTCAGTAGGCACTGCTATGATTTAAGTTAATCCTTAACTTCCTATGAGGCCACAGTGTGATGTGATTGCTGAAGATGCTAACTGTGGCCACATGGCTAGGCCAGTGCCACAATTTAGAAAGTAATTGCTGTATACAGCCTGCCTTGGTTGGGTTATGTTGCTACACAGTTACATATTTTCTTGCTATGTAGGGCAGGCTGTCTTTAGACTCATGATCCTCCTGCCTCTGCTTTCCAAGTGCAGGGATCGTAGGCATCCACCACGACACCTGGCTGCCTGCCACGTCCTAAGAGATGCTTACTTGGAAAGAAGGATGTGTTAGTTGCTTTCCTCTTTGACAAAAACACAGCTTAAGAGGGTAAAGGTTTATTTTGGCTGGAAAAGCATCATGGCAGCATTGAGAAATGTGAGGTAGGCGTGGCTAAGCTGGACTTACAACCTTGAAGTATTTAGATGTGGGGGAGTGGCTTGCATTTCTGCTCTTCTGCTTACCTTGTGTCGACAACAGACAGGATATTACAGTATGCCTGGTTTAGAGGAAGGAAGTCCTCCCAGGTAAGGTGACTTCAAACATGGAGCTTAATTGTCTGCATCCCCTTCCTATCTCTCTTTATTAATTTAACAAGAAATATGCAGATCACCTAGTACAGAACCTGAGATTAATTGTGTAATGTTATTTTTCTCTAACATTCTTTTTTCTTTCTTACTTTCCATCAATAACTACAAATATCAGCAGGCTTCAGAAGTCTTACCCTGATCTGATCTTGGAAATCCTGTTCACAGAAGAGCCTTAGTGTTTGGCCTTGAGTATAAGCCCCTTGTTCCATTCCCCGCCCCTATCTTTTAAAAATAAGGACTTTCCCTGATATTGATATCCACGATGGTTTCTATAGAGGTTTTCCTATCCTAATTTAAGTTTGGGGTTGGGTGGGTGGATAGTTTTACCTCCTCAAAACTTTCACACTTTTGGAGACCTTTTATTTATTTCCTTTTGGAGTCTCAAGTCCTAGATTGCATTATAAACCTCACTACAAACCTTTCACATTTGTCTTTACGTAAGCCATTTTGAAAACAACTAAATAATCCACACACATATCTGCATATTCTCTAATTTTCCCTTGTATCAAGGTTCTTTTATTTTGGTTATTAGAAACAGGCTCTGAAGTAAGAAGAAATAGTTCAGTAAAAGGATACTTGAGTGAGTGTGTGGGGTGCTGCTCACAGACTTATGTATGTACATGCAGAACTTAAGAAGAGCAGACCTCAGGCCAGATCTGGGAATTCTGCCTAAGGCTTGGATTGTGAAGTGATTTCATCATCCCCACTCCCTCCCTGTGAGCCTCTGTCTCTAGGAAGTGAGACTCTGATTGGCCATGTGATCAAGAGGAGTGAAGACCTGTGATTGGCAGCCCTGATAGAACTAATTGGGCACGGTCAGAACAGGTCTCTAAAAAAGGGGATACCAAGAAGAAAATCCAACACATATCTGTCACATTTTCTTAGCAACCTCTGAGGTTACTGCTGAGGTCTCCCTCATTTCCATATTGTCAATCTGTTCAGACTGAAGCCTGGAAAATGCATCTTTCAAGACTGCCTGCTACCTTTTTTAAACCTCCCTGCCTGCTTAAATATTCCTTGAGGAGAGGAATCAGAAGAATGCTAGAAAGACAGCTTTGCCATGAGGTTGGGGTGGAAAGGCTTGTGGATTTGGTTCAGAGTCCATCATCTGACGTGTCTTTATGTAGACAGGAAGCACTGTTCAATACTCCACTGGAAAGATGGATCTGGAGCTCTCAATAAGAAACAAGAGCTCAGAGAGGGAGACTGCTGAGATAGTCAATCATTTAAGTAGACTGCCAAGGGCAGATATTAAGTACCCTCTATCTGCCAGACACTGTATCAAGGCCACGGCCAGCATCACCACATTAGATAAGTCAAGGGGGCAGTTTTGAAGAAGCAGTACGTCTGTCTATAGCACATAATGAACAAACGTATAAATAATTGCAACAGAGAACTCAAGGAAAGGTCACCTGAGGCTACCCCCATTTCAGATGTCACTTGTGTTAACAGGCTGTTGTCATAGTCCTGGCCCTGATTTGCTCTCGTCAGACTTTGTCCCTGTCTTACACTCACCTACCCCATAGTCCCTGCCCCAGCACCCGAGTCCAGCACCTTGACTGGCCCCTAACCATTTCTTTCTTTTGTTTTCAAATAGATTCTCACTATGTAGTCCAGGCTGACCTCAAACTCGTGATCTACCTCCGCCAGCTTTGGAGTGTTGAGACTATGGACGTGTGACCTCATGCTCCACTAAACCTTTATGATTCTGTGGTTTCTTGTGGTCCTGGCACGAACCACAAAATATCTTGAAGAGATTTTGGTTACAGATGAACAATTGGTGGTAATAAAGATATTCCACTAAAATACCTTAGGAATATGCAGACAATTGTATGAAGTGTTTTAGATAGGGTCTTTTGTTTTGGATACTTCTCAGTATTCCTTAGTCAACTCCATCTTTTTCACCCAATTAACTACTGTGATACAAAGATGTGTACATTAAAAAAATTCCCTCTAGTCAAAGAACTAAAAATCACAATTTCAGTTGCACTATATAACTTCATTAGGGTCCTGGAACAGATGACCTGGAATAGAAGTAATTCAAAGTCCATTTTCCATTTTCTCTGCTACCAAATCTCTTTGAATGCATATTTGTTCATTAGTTTTAAACACTTGTTCTGAACATCAAGTACTCCACATGTTTTTGCAAGGAGCACTGGCACTCTTTTTTAGTTATAATGCTTAATCTGCATTATTTTTTCTTTTAATTACATTGTTAAAAATTTTCTCTATGTGAGTCTTAAAAGGTGTTAATGGGTATTTTACAGTAATTTGTTTTTTTCCAATTACATAAAGTATCCCTTTCTTGGCCATAATACATTATTATCTTTTAGCAGAATAGTTGATGTTTTGAAAAGGTATTTAAGTATTTGTGTATAAAAGATTGTTTACCAGCTTTGGAGAGATTTTTCCCTCTTAAAGCTCATGTAACATCTCCAAGTTAAGAAGTTAAAATTAAGCCAGCAGCTTCAAATGCAATTTTTAGCTTTCTGTTTCCCTAAGCCTACTATCTCCAAGGAGTCTTGACATGTATGAACGGCGGTGAGGGATTGGGGAAGGAATCAGGTGACGCATTGGCTGGGCCACTGCCAGTCTGTGTCAGCCTGTGAGAGAAGGAGCTAGGCTGACCCTCTGCTCAGGAATTACAGCACCAACATGGCTGAGGCAGGGCAGAGGATGGAGCCTGGAGCTCGGTACTCAGGAAACCACAAGCATTAGAACGCAGAGTCCGGAGCTGCCCTGGGGGTCACTGACTCCTCGGTGACTCAGCTGCTCTTTTCCGGGCTTTCAGTGTTTACACGCTCCCCTGGTCCCAGCTCCACCTCGGTTTATTTCTCTCTCTCAGGATCCCAAGATTCTTTACTTACATAACGTCTTCCTTTCTGTCACACTTGTTCTTCCAAACACTTTGCTGAGCTGGACTTATTTTTTTAAGAGTTTTAATTTTTAATTAGGAAAATAAACACTATGTAAATTTACCATCTCATTTTTAAGTACATAGTTTAGCATGGCTAAGTGCATCCACAGTGTTATGAAAGTTATGTAACCAGTCCTCAAGAGCGCTTTTTTTTTTTGTAACTTGTAAAACTGAAACCAGTACCCATGGGAAAAAACAACCTCCCACCAAAACAAAACCATTCCTCTGTTCCGCTCCTGGCAGCCACCATTCTTTCTTCTTCTGTTTGTTAGTTTTAGTATTCTAAGCAACCATAGAAATGGAGCCAATGGTTTGTGCCTTGGTTCGGGGGTTATTTCACTTAGCCTAGCGTCTTCGGGGTTCGCTGTGTACCCTGTGGTAGCATGTGTCAGGATTCGTTTTAAAGGCTGGATGATGCTCCATCATGCACACGCCGTTTTGCCCATCCATTCTTCTTGGTGATGGGCTTCTATCTTTAGCGTTCTGTGAAAGGCATTGCCATGAATATGGGTGTAACCAGATTCATTCTTTTTGATGACACATACTTACCTATTTTTAAAACAGCTTTTGTCATGGAAAATTTTCCAACATGAGAAAGAAAAAAAGAATATCTCATGAACTCCCGAATACCCATCACTCAGCTTCACCAGCTTTAATCTTATAGTCATAGCTTAGCTCTAGCTCTACAGATAATTCCGACCTGGGTTGTTCTGAAGCAAATCCAACACATCACACAATTTTACTTGCCAATATCATACAATGTATCTTTTAAAAAATAAGATTTTTTAAAAAGATAAAGTGCAAAAGAACTTTGATTTAAAAAAAAAAAAAAAAACCCTACTCATTGTTATCAGTATCCACTTGGTAAATTACAGTATCCCAATTACCTTAAATTTTAATTTAAATTTATTTTAGTAGATACCTTAAAACATTATATACATGTTTGTGTGTGTGTGTGTGTGTGTGTGTGTGTGTGTGTGTGTGTGTGTGTATAATAGTGTCACATGTAATATTTTGGTACCTGTATACATCATTCCATGTTAAATCAAATTGAATTTACATATCTTTTGAAACACTTATCATTTCTTAAGGTTGAAAACATTCAAACTCCTTCTAGCTTCCTGAAGCATACAGTACATGCTGTTATCTACAGTCAGGCTACCAAGATGAAGACCGGTTTCCGGGGTCTACACCACTTCTCTCACATGTGTGAGGCCCTGGGTTCCATCCCAGAATCAGAAAAAAGCATGTACACACTTACAGTTTCCCTACTGCGCAACAGCACACTCGGCCTTCTTCCTCCTTTCCAACAATAAGTCCACCTACTGCCCCCTCTGCGCACCCAGCCCCCCCCCCCACCACCCCACTTGCAACTCCCAGCAGACCAATCTTTTTATATGGTTTAATCTACATATGAGCTGCATCGTTTGGCACCTACCTTTTTCTTATCTTGATTGAGTGGGAGTGCAAATAAATCCGCCCACTTCCATTGTTCCATGTGACTAGAGTCTCTGTTTCTCATCTAACGTCTTTCTCTTTTCCTTACTTTTTTATTTTCTAATTCTGTGGAGTTTCCCCCATGTTGGAGTTTGCTCTGGTTCCCTGTAGTACATTTAACATTGTCTACTTCCTGAATTTTTTATAAACTGGTAATTGGGTTTGGGTTGCTTGATCAGATTTAGATCCTTTTGCTTTACGAGACTAACATAAAACCAGAACTGTATTTTTTCTACTAAGGGGCACAGAATAGCACTTTCTTCCTCCCCCTTCTCTCCCTCTTCCTCCCCTCACCCCACCCCCCATCATCACTACAGTTAGACCATTTGAAGGTGCAAAGCACCGCTAGTTGGTTCCGTTGGTTCCTCTCTGTACATTAACTAAATTCCTTCCATAACAGTGATGTCCTGCCATCAATTTTCCTGAGAGGTGCTTGTGTAAAACAGTAGGAGTAAGTGTGTAATTACACATGCCCCCTTTACTCAGCAATCCGCAAAGCAGTGAGTTGGCTTCCCCACATCTTCTAAAGGTAACCAATAAGATTTTTCTTATAGTAGAATTTTGAACTCGGTGTTTTTTTTTTTAACAGTTTAATTTTTATTCCTTAAATTTATGTGAGCTCGAAGGTATGCCAGGTATGTGCGGGTATCTGGGGAGGCCAGAAGAGGGTATCTGATCCCTGGAGCTGGAGTTACAGGTGGCTATGAGCTGCCCAGTGTGAGTGCTGGGAACCGTACTTGGGTTGGGAAGAGCTGCTAAGTGCTCGTAACTGCTAAGTCATCTCTCTCTCCCCAATTCAATGATTTTTTTTTTAAACATACTTCATTTTGCACTGATTTTCTTTATTGAAGTTGGCTCCTTTTGAGATGACATTGAGTGCCATTGAAAGACACCTAGCTCTCTGTTCTGACAAAATGCTCCGGGCTCATCCCTGGCTTTTCGATTTCAGGCTGACAGCAGCCATTTCTTCAGAGGTCTCTGGCTCCTGTGCTGGGAGGCTGTCTGGATTTGCTGTTGCATCTCAGCCGTTTCAGTGGAAAATCCCAGGTGAGCTAGTTTTCATTTTACAGATTAAATGTATTATAAATGTCTATTGACATTTGCATTTTTCAGTTTCAGAATGATCAATCTTATACCTGTGTCTGTTTTTTATTTACTGACAAAAATGGTTGCTTTATAATATACAGATATTATACTCTCGTTTCTTCCCCTCACTTTTTTTTTCTTTTTGCAGTACTGGGGTTCAAACTTAGGGTTTTGTGCATGGTAGGCAAGTATTCTCTCGTTGAATTATATATCCAGGCCTTTGTTCTTCATTTTGAGACTGTTGTCTGGCTTTGGACTCCCTCAGTAGGATGTGGAATTTGTGATCCTCCTACCTCAGCCTGCTGAGTAGCTGGCGTTATAGACTTGAGCCAGCAGGCAGATCGGCTTTCCCTGTTTTAATGTTTGTGTATCACAGTATCTGCACAACCACCTCAGAACACAACCACCACCGGCCAGAAAACTGGGCACAGCCTATAGGATTTCTTTCCTGCAGTTGTTTTTAAACCGTGTAAGTTACACTAGGGACACACACCATGGGACTCTGGTGTTTAATACTGTTCGGAAAATTTCATCTCCATGTGGTTATTTTATTTTTATGTACAAAGATTATGTTCAAATTTGTTTTATAATTGCATAAGATATTTACCTAGTCTAAAGCACCAAATCAGTAAGACCAATATTGGTGAAAGTCTGTCTTCCCGTCAGGAACTTCTCCCTAAGTATCCTGTAGATGTTCGTTTTTCAATCACTTATTTAAAAACCTAATTCTTCTTAGTTTATTGATTGAACAGATTCTATTTAGACCAAGAAAATGTGAAACAGAGTTATTCCCAAACCTTGGATATTTGCTCTTTGTGCCTTTGGCTCTAATAAGTCCTAGGATACAGTTCTAACAGTACATGTGAAAGAGAGAGAAAGGATTGGTGGGTTTGAGGAGTGAGCAAGCGGGAGAGTGCTTTTGGCGAGCTTGACGAGGCAAGATCTTGTGAGAGCTCTCGGCTTCCACCTATTAAATTTAGATGACTACATTACTGGGAGCCCATCTGAGCCCAGACTTGTGAGTGTAGAAAACTCTGGCCACAGACTGAGTCTGCCTGGATTCAAGTAAAGATAAAATGGGCTTCGTTCCACACTCACCATGAGCAAGCCAAGCCTATCAGATGACTCATGAGTGACTGAGACCTGGTCAAAAGATCAACTCAGGCGACAAACATGGTCAGCTTTTGGAGTCATACCATGCCTGTGGGCAAAGGAGACACACGGATTGAGTCTCACTCACGGATCCACACATCCTTCATGAGCAATGAGGGCTGTCAGTCATCATCACCGGTTGGGGAGGGTGCCTTCACTGTATTCATCAGTTGATGATCACTAGTACACAGAGGCAGGTACAGAACATGGTACCTCTTCCTCCACTCTGCCATCTCCTAGGACATTAGAGAAAGCCAGTGCACAGGCATTTTTCACGGTTAGAGATTAGTAGCAATGTTTAATCCAAGTCTGTGAATAACAGATTCTCACCAACTTGTACTGGAATCACTCAGTCCACTTCAACGTGTATCAAACACGTTACCAGAAGCTAGACACTATGCTGGACTCAGGATGTAAAGATGCACAAGGCACAGGCTCTGTTCTGATAGCGTGACTGGTCAGAGGAGGCTGGCACAAAGAATCGTCGCCGAGTACCGAGAGTCATACTGGGAGGTCGTTCTTCTGAGGTTTTAGCCAAGGACTCCAGCATGACATCTGGAAGTAGGAGACACCCAGACTGCTGGAGCAGTAAGGAGTGGTCGGGACAGGGACAGTGCCACAGAGTGGGCAGCCCCTACACAGTAGACTGAGCAGGAGCACCTCTAACCTTCGCACGAGGCTGGAAGTGGCTGAGGCCTAGACCAACCTGGAGGTCAGGAGACACCCTCCCTGGAGAGGCTTTTCTCCTTCCATTAAAAATAAGCGTTTTTTTCTCGTATTGTGTATCCTGATGACAGTTTCCCCTCCTTCTAGTTTTTCCTATCTCCCCTTTCATCATTTTCTGTGTCGCATTAGAAAATAAAGACCTCTAAGGAATAATAATAAAATATAATATAATATAGTAAGAAAATAGTAAATAACGCACTTGAATAGGACAAAACAAACAGAAGGAAAAGAACTAAAAAAAAGGCACAAGAAACAGATACAGTCTCAGAGACCCATTCGTTCACACACTCAAGAATCCTATAAAAACACAAAACTGGAAGCTATAGTATATATGCAAAGAAACTATAGGATTAAAAAGAGTGTATATATATATATATATATATATACATACATACACACACACACACACCATTTGTTGAAGATGCTGTCTTTTTTCCACTGTGTAGTTCTCTTTTTTTCCACTGTGTTGTTTCTGGCTTCTTTATAAAAAATCAGGTGTATAGATTTATGTCTGGGTTTTCAGTTCAATCCCACTAATTGATCAATGTGTTGTTTTGTGCCAATGCCATGCTGTTTTTATTACTACAACTCTGTAGTACAATTGAGGTCAGGAATTGTGATAACACCTACCCAGCAGTTCTTTTATTGCTCAGATTGTTTTAGATATCCTGGGTTTTGTGTTTTGTGTTTTCACATGAGCTGAAAATTGTCCTTTCAATATATGTGAAGAATTGTGTTAGGATTTTGATAGGGATTGCATTGAATCTGTAGATGACCATTTTTACTCTATTAATCCTAACAATCCATGAGCATGGGAGATCTTTCCATCTTCTGATACGTTCTGCGATTTCTTTTTTCGACGTCCTATAGTTTTCATTTTTATTTTTTTTATCATACAAATCTTTCACTTGCTTGGTTAGAGTTACCCCACGATATTTTATATTATTTGAGGCTATGGTAAAAGGTGTTGTTTTCCTGATTTCTTTCTCAGTTCCTTTGTCATGTATATAGGAAAGCTACTGATGTTTGTGAGTTAATCTTATATCCAGTTGCTTTGCTGAAAGTATGTATCTGCTACAGGAGTTCCCAGTGGAATTTTTAGGGTCACTTATGTATACTATGATATCATCTTCAAATAATGACATTTTGACTTCTTCCTTTCCAATTTGTATCCCCTTGATCTCCTTCAGCTGTCTTATTGCTCTAGCTAACACTTTTAGTACTGTTTTGAATAGCTATGAAGGTAGTAGACATCCTTGTCTGGTTCCTGACTTTAGTGGAATTGCTTTGAGTTTCTCTCCATTTAAGTTGATGTTGGCTATGGGCTTGCTGTAAACTGCCTTTATTATGTCAACATAATAAAGGATGTCCCTTGCATCCCTAATTTCTCCAGGACTTTTATCACTAGATGTTGTCAAAGACTTTTTCTGTATCTAGTGCGATGATTGTGTGGTCTTTGGGGGGCAGTAATAGGAGCTTAAGGGGTTGATGGGACAGGTGTGTTAGGAATGTAAAGAGCTTGGTGGACATGAGAAATATTTGCCTTAATTTGGTAACCAGAAACTGACGAAACAAAATATTTTTCCTACACAAACTGAAAACAATTACTGAAATCAATAATATAGAAAGTGAAGTTCCATCTCTTAAATCATTGTTTGGTTACTGTTCCCCTAATTTGTTTCATTCTGAAAAATGTGTTATTAATGTTGAGGTGGGGAAAAAATCAGATAATACCTAATTACAACTTGCTTTTCTTACTTTTCAATCCATTTATCTCTGTACATTCCTTATTTTTAAACAGTATCCCACGTTCTACTATACAAAAGGAATATTTTTTATTTAATCATGTACCTATTAATAAATAGATATTTAAAGGTTTATTATTGATGTGAAGGTGTGTGTGCCTGTATGAGTTTATGGACACCATGTGTGTGTAGTGTCTGCAGAGGTGAGAAGATGGTGCTGGATCTCCTGAAACTGGAGCTACAGGGGTTGTGATCAGCCCAGGATGGGTGCTGGGAACTGAACCTGTGTCCCCTGGAAGAGCAACAAGTGCTCTTAACCACTCAGCCTTCTCTTCTGTACCCCTATTAATGGATATTTTGATCTTCTCCAATTTTCCTTCTTTTTAATTTTTAAAAACAAAATAGTGCATAACGGCCATACTTTAAAAGTCAAAAAGAACTCTTGGACATACATGGAAAAGGAGATCTGGTCCTGGTCTTCAACTGCTGACCTCCGTTTCCTCTTCGCTGAATCTTTTCATTCTCTCTCTCTCTCTCTCCCTCTCTCTGTATGTGTGTTCAGGTGAGTGTGCATGTGTGCTCATGTGTGTGAGGGCCAGAATTCAGCCTTAGTGTCATTCTTCAGACACTGTTGGCCTCTGTTTTTTGAAACATGGTCTCTCATTGGCTTGGAATTGGCCCAGTAAGCCAGGCTGGTCCCAGATATCCATCTGTCTCTCCAGCACTGGGATTACAGGCTTGTGCCACCATGCCTGGCTTCTTTTATATGGGTTCTAGAAAGGAACTCACGGCAAACTATATTAACTAGTTATCTCTTTCTTTAAGTGCTATTTATTTAGATGCTATATATTCATAGTCTTAATGTGGAAATTCAATTCTCGCAGAGATTCTGTTTTCCTATGGACTGTATATGTAAATAATTGCCTTTAGTCCAACTTCCTAGTACAGTTATGCCCATATTTTCAATTAAATCTATGCACAATTCTGACAACATTAAAATTATGGAAATATTAAGGTTGAGCCAAGTAGGTGTGACTACATTTTCATATATATATATGTATATATATATATATATGGAAATATATATCTATATATCTCTCTATATACATCCATACTTTTTTATGTTCTGTTCAGCAGCCACTAGTCCATCCCCAAACCTTTGCAGACTGTAATAACATCCCTCCAATCAGTGTGCTCAAATATACTCTCTGTTCTAGAAGTCTCTCTTTCCTTTTGGCAACATTTCCCAAGAGCCTTCCATCACCTCACTTGCCTTGGCTGGGTCCTGGCCTGGGCTGGTCGAGCAGCTGTTTCCTGCTCTTCTTTCCTGGACTTCTTTCCTGCCATCCCAAGAATCCCCTTCACCTCCTGTTTTAGGTCCTGCATCCCAGTTATGTCGCCTTTCTCTTGTTTGTTTACTCCCTCGCTTTGGTGCAGCTCATACACGGCCTGGGTCCTGGAGCCCTCTGAAGGGTGGCAAGGAAATGAAGAAATGTCAGACACTAAAGAATCGATAGACACAGGGACACAAAATCTGAGAATGAGTAGACAGCCTGGGTTCTTGAATGGAGAAGCGGTAGCCCCATCCCCCGAAGTGAAGCATGTTTATTATATATAGTTGAATAGAGAGGTGAGTTTGAATAAGGAGGTGGGTTTATAATACACAGTCAAACAGGGAGACAGGTTTAGCTTATCTGAGTAGGAGCCATCTCTGTAGGGGATCAGTCTTCAGGCTGTAAACATCCTGGGGAAAAAGCATTTTGTGAATTTTGGTGAGAACTGCCAACATTTGCACTTGGATCTAAGGAAGGCTTTGATTTTGTTATTGTTGTCCTGGTCTCTGAGTCTCAACCAGGGAAGGTTTTGCCACTCCCATGGCCATGAGGCATTGGTCTTTGACTTGTGTGTCAACAATACACATTCACTCAGGACTTCACTCGCTCCCTACAAGCATGGCCACCAGTAGTTTCCCGAGAAAACCTTAGAGCAGACATACAGTTTTTAGGTTGCACATTTCACAGACTCAGGGAGCTATAGGACATAGTAATTACTTTTCTGTTGAGGTTAGAAAAAAAGCATGACCAAAAAAATAACTTAGGGAAGGAAGGTTTGATGTTGGTTCCAGAAGCACACGGTTCATCATGGTAGAGAACATGGCAATGGGAGAAGAAATGGCTGAAGCAGGAACAGGGAGCTGGCTGATCACACTTTGCTCCTCATACCTGAAGCAGAGAGAGGGCCGTAGGTGGATGAGCTATAAGTCCCAAAGCCCACCTCAGCGACACACCTCCTCCAGCAAGGCTCCACCTCCTCAAGGCCCCACAGCCGTCCCCATCAGTGTCACCAACCGGGGATCAAGTGTTCAGACACATGAGCCTGTGAAGAATATTTCTCATCCAAACCACCACATTGGACGTAGGGTACTGCAAGAAAATGGAACACAGGCAAGAAGCATCCGAATGGCTGAGCACACAAGGATCTGAGTGGGGCTGTGGATGGAGTCGAGATCACAAGAGGTATGGGGGCGGGAGCTAGCAGAGAGCTATCTGAATTCCAGGAGACCCATCCCAATGGAGAT